CAGTGTTTTTGTGCTTATTTGAAATTCCCTGTTTTCCTATCAAAACTCTGGAGAGCTTGGACTTTTTTCTACATGCTTTATTTCTGGACTACCACTAACTAATTCAGTTAATTTTAATGAAGGCTGTTCAGTAATAATACTAAAGCTGTTTAGCAAAAACACAGTGTTCTGCCAATCCAACCAGGCATTACAGGGCACTTTTTGTAGGTGGAACTGTGATAGCAAGATGAAGTAATTACCCTAGACACTACAAGAATGTAAGACATAAAGGGTCACAGAAGATTGCAGGAAACTTGGGACCTGAATGATCCCCACAAAAAGCCAACATGCAATCCAATTCTAAACTGGCATTTGCAGAATCCTTTTTTTGTTGCATCTGCAGTTGGAAGTTTACCTGCAAAGCACTTCATTTGCTCCTTACTCCCTTTTCCATCTTGATAAAATCCTTCACACATTTGCAAACTGTAGGTTTCTTAGTTTTGGCTTTTTTGGTGGCAACTTGCCAGCCTGCAGCTCTTGTGAGCCATAAAATACCTGGAACTCACAGATCAGTGCTCTAGCAAGAATTTGCATTGCTCTGTTTTGAAGATGGATATGGTCTCTAAACACTTGCTTATGCTGATGAAAGGCACTCCCAGCAGTAACAGTGAGATGTTCTGAACTTGGAGATGTCAATAGCTAAAATTCGATATGAAGACAATAAATATAATGAGGAAACAGAAAACCTTTTATAAAGAAGTTGTAAAGGTTATTTCAGTATTGCTGATTGCCCAGTACATGGGAAAATGGGAAAAAATTTGAATATGTAGCATCCCACACTTAAAACCAAAGCTCAGAGAAGCAAGAAAATATTAGGAAAATAAAAATTGCTACCCTGTGAATGATCACAGATGGCTTTTGCATGCCCCTATTCACCAGCTGCTACTATTACTTTCATGCAAAGGCATCAGAGAAAAACAGATCATGATTTAATGGAAAGAGTGCTGGGCTGAAACAAAGGAACAAATCTGAGATATTGTCCTCCATGGAGAGAGATCTTTTTATCCCAGCAAAGGGCAGTCTGCCCAGGGATTACCTAAGTAGAGATTCTGAGTATAAGGGCCCTGGATGGAGCCATTCATGGACAAGAGACAAGGCTGACTGCTCTCACAGACAGTGAGACTCCCTCTTGATCCCAAAGGGGCCCTTTCATGGTCTCACTGAGCGTAATGGCTTTTGTGATAGCAGTAACAAGCACACATGGACAACTATTCTGGTTCAGATCAAAGGCCAAAACCATCTGAGAGTCAGACTCGATGATCCTTGTGGGTCCCTTTCAGCTCAGAATATTCTGTGATCTGCTGCTCTGTGTCCCTCAGCAGCTCCACAGACACCAGGAGTGCAAGAGCAGGCCAGGCATACAGAACACTTCTCCTACCCCTGCCTCACTCGCCACTGTCAGGTTGGAGATTTCCTGAACCTGCTGTAGTTTCTCTGTTTAGCAATCCCATAAAGATTTCTCCGCAGGGAGTTATCCAACCACTCTGTGAGTAAGAAGTACTCAGGGGAAGATGAGCACCTGTAAGCCCCTCACATTCAGAAGTTGTTTCAGTGAGGAGTTCCACCAGTTCTAGATTATACAAAGACATGTTTTCCTATGACTTTCTTAGTACTCGGTTTCCACTATCTTATGCTGGCCTCTAGTTTCTTTCATCAGGAAGAAAAAAGGAACAATCAATCCCTATTTACTTGCTCTGTGCAAGGCATGAGTCACAGACCTGGTATTGTCTCAGCAGTTATGGCACAGAGGTCCTGAAACATTAGGATACAAAGCTGGTATGTTGCATTAAATTTGTTCATTGAGACAGTGGATTTTAGAAGCATTACATTAACTTATGGAATGCATTTAATTTGTTTACACTTTCTTTAAGGCAAGGGAGGGAATCTATTTTCCTGCTTCAAAGTATGCCAGAAGAAATATACACAGCCAGTCTTAGAAAGGAAAAATGGAAGTGAATGAAGGGATATATGGAAGAAGGGATATTATAAGGTGCTCAAGTGTGACACAGAAACATATCTGCCTAAATCAGGTACATAACAGGCTCACACACACACAGAGATGCATGGGCAACATGACATCTACAAACACTGTTGTCAGCTGGAGGAATGAAAAAGAGGAAAATGCATTCTGAAACCCAGGCAGGCCGGCTCAGGGGGCTGGAATGCTGCACAGCACATCAGAGGGGCAGCAGAGAGAATGACTCTCACTGCCATATGTTTGTTAGACCTTGCTGTTCTGCTTTATACTGAAATCATTAAATCTTCCCCTTCTGTAGGTCTCCCTTTGCATGCATGCACCTTTCACTGATTGTTTTCATCATCCCACCTGTAACAGCATCAGAACTCTGTAAAGCAGGAGAGACAAGACACGTCGGAAGTGTCTGTGCACAAGGAGCTAGGAAAAGCTCCAGTGCTGAACCAGTGTTGCTGGTCAGGGGACAGTACCATGCTCAGAGCCATGGAGGAAGAGAGTCTAAGTGAAGGTGAGCTCAATCTGTTGCAGCAGCGGACTGCCTGCAGAGGGTCCTCAAACCATGAATCTGAATAGGACCCAACCACCACAATCCCTATGGTGTTCAGAGCTGGCAGTATGAGAGGAGAAGGGAAACAGAGAAGACTTTGCTTTGTTTCCAGTGAGAAATGCTGATTAATTCCATGACAATTTCTAGGAAGATTTTGCACACATTTCCAACCAGACACCCAGCTAAGCAAGGTGCTGAATGTGAACTCTTCTGTCCTTTATCCTTTTACTTCCCCTTACTCTCACTTGGCTGGGGATATGAACTACTGGGCCACCCTGCTTTGATGCTAAGGTTGTCTCTTTTTTGGTAACAATCCCTTTATTTCCCTTCCCTTCCTTTTCTCTCTTTCTTGTATGTTGCTCAAACCTAACATTTTCAGGTTGACTTCTCTCATTTTCAAGAGACTTGCATATTCCTGATCAGGTTAGGTGGTGTGATACAGAACAGTTTGGCACCCTGTCTCGTGAGCTGTCTTGCCTGGGTAAGTCCCCAGCCAAGGGAACTATCATTTATAATTTCAAGAGACCATTAATTTTGGTTTTGCTCCATGTGAAGTTATCTGTTCCAGCCTGGCATTAGGGGTCAGGCTGGGTTTTCCCTGCTAGAACAATATGCTGTCATGTAGCTTCAGGCAGTAGAAATAATATGATTTTTCCATTCCAGAACCAGAGCAAAACTCTAAGTCAGATACATTTCCCATAGCAGAGTATGCCCACAACATTTCCCTGAGTCTTGGTCAGATGAATGTTTTTTATTCCAGCTATAATATGGCTTTCTTAGGGAGACAGCCTGCTTCAAATGCAAGTGTGCAAGAGGGTTCAAGTTTTTCTATAGAGCCTCAGTAGCTAGCACATATCAGGGTGAAGAAGTTAAGAGAGATCATCAAGTTACATACTTTATAAACCATTTTTTCCTCACAGGAAAGTAAAGGTACACCTCATTCCTGAAGAAACAAGGAATACTCAAGTGTTGTCCATGCATCAGGAGTAATATGAAATACATTTAAAGGATGCTTGCCTATCTCAATCCCCTCACTCCCACTCAGCCCTAGCATTTCCCAGGAGGAAGGGCTAGCAGAAAATTCTAGCTGCTTCCCTGAGTTTGATTTAATTTCAAAAGTCCAGCAAAAACCTGAATCAACCATAGTTACAGTGTCCTAATTTTCCCTGCCCCTGAACAGAATAACCCATGTGCTGGGCACCATTGTATTCCAGCATGCAGAAGGATCAGACAGTGCTGGAGGCCAAAAGCAAAGAGGACACTGAACTGAGCATATTTCTCTGCCAGGTACTAGGCATACACGCTTCTAGATGCAGCTAATTTATCTTTGGATGCTAAAGCCACAGTTAGACCAGAAGGATGTAACCCATATGTGCAGTGAGCTGAGGACATCTGGGACTTAATTGGAGGATGCAATGCCAACTTAACTCCCACACTTTTGTCTTGGCTTGTTCACACAAGGGTCAAGAACAGAATTTGGCTCTAAAGCATAGTATTTATTTACTTCCTTTTCATCTCCCACTCCTTCTGCCTCACTGTCTTCTGCTGCAGCCTCTGCTCTCCACCTTGCTCCTATTTATCTCCAGTATCTGCACATTCTTTCTGCTTTTCCCTACTTTTTCTTCCTTGATGAATTCCCAATAGCTTATCTGCCTTAAGTTTTCAATTTTCACCTTCCTCTTTGTTCTGTCCTTTTAGAGGATAGAAGAATTACCACAGAGATTTTGTGTGTGTGTGTACAACCACTACAGTGTTCAGAGTGAACACCTACTACATAATGATGGGATGAGGCCAGTTTCAGTATTATCAATTCAGGCTGCCTGCACATCCAGATTGATGTCATTGCACAGGGTCACACATGTCAGGCTTTCTCTACCACCACGAGGAATTGAAATTTACTTTTCAAATAGATAAAATATAGCTTCTGCACAACCTTAGTATATAATTTGTGCTACCACAGTATTGAGAATTGGATCACACTGCTGGAAACTATTAGCCACCTTCTGACCACATGTTAATGGCTAAATTAAAAGTAGCTCTCAAGTTTGTTCGGGGACCCACTGAAGTTGGAGGTTTCTAAAGTATGCCTGAAGGGTTTGAAAATGAGGTATCCTCTAGAGCATGTCCCTACTCTGGGAGATTCTGGAACTGGAGAAAATCTGGAAGATCTGTTGATGATGCAGCTTTTGATGGAGTAGTGGGCAAATGGCTCTTTGGGCGGGCAGAGGGCAGAAGCTGTTCAACTGGGGAATGCGCCGGGAGCACTGGAGAGGGAATGAGAAACGGAGGAGTAGGGTGGGAGCAGGGAGTTACTGCTCTGTCTGAATGGAGCTCGTTTTTTGCTGTAATCAGAGGGATGGCCTCCCTCAGCCTCCTGCTATGAGAGGCATTTCACCTTCCTGTCCCTGCTGAAAGTGCTGGACAGTAGAAGCCACTTACCTGATAACTGCTGCACTGAAGGCTGGTCATGTGTGCTTAACAACTGTGCCTGAATGGTTTCTACTACCCTCTTAAAGCGACGGCTTGGACCTGCGAGGAGAGAAGAGGCACAAGAGGCTGTGAGAGCACTGGGAGCCAAGCCCACACACAAGGCTGCAGGGGAAGGATCACAACCATCTTCCCTTCAGTCTTGTCCCCAGAAGTGTCCTGACTGTGTCTGTCCTTCAGCCAAAGGGACTATGGTGTGCTGGACATGGTGTTCCTCTCAACAGGAAGAGTTGGGGCTTTGGGGCTCCTTTTGTAAAGACAGAAAAGGTGAGGGGGGTCTGTTTCCTTGTTGCAACCCCTGTTGGGGGCATGCGGCCACCCAGAAGAAAAGGGTCAGTGCACGTTTCACTCAGAAGGAAGAAACTATGGCCTCACAGTGCCCAGCTGAGACTCTGGGACTTTTGAATGAAACAGGGAGCCAGTACCATGAGTTACACCAAAACTGGTGCACAGAACAGCCATTTTAGCACTAATCATGGCAGTGCCAACTTCACCTCTTTGGGAATCCCCTTCCCTTCCTGCATTTCCATCACCACCAACATCATTTTTGTTCCTGATGTCCTCCTTGCCTCTGGCTGAACTTTCCTGAGGTCAAGCCAGTTATACTTTTTCCTCTGGCAGAGCAATTTGCAGGCCTCTATTATCAGCAAGGACCAAGCCAGCTCACATTCATTTGAGAGCTTTGCCATGGTTACCTGATAGGAGTGTGAAAGTGACAGAATAGATCCCGTTCTCCTTTTGCGCCTCTCCCCCTTCTGTGTATGTTATGTCCACCTGGAACTTCACTGGCTTCTGGAAGACAGCAGGACCTCCTGTGGACTTATATTCTGCACGGAAACTTGTCTGTGAGATGACACTGTGACTGAGACTTGGGATCTGAAAGAGGTTGGTAGAAGCAGATAGTAGAACCAGTGCTAAAGGGAAAAAAAGACTTTCAAAATTCTGTTTATAACAACACACATTTCCAGAATGAGTGACATTTGCTAGATTTTCTTCTGGTCTTGAATTTTTAATGTAGAGTGTTCTTGTGAAACCAGTAACAGCATAGGTTGCTGAGCACCACAGAAGAATGCACTGCTGTTTACAAGACTGACCTAAATTTAAGGGTTGAATATTGGTGGAATACCCAACGAACTTGTGAATTTACAGATGTTGCTCAGCTTCATACAGTCAGTCTTTCTTTTCCACCAGTTTTGAGAAATGCCTTTTGCTGAGCAAAAAGTAATACTAAGGGAGTGGGCAGAAAAGTCAGTGGGATATAAAACTGAATACAAAAAACACCTAAGTAAGGTGTTTTTTATACAGCCTGGTGTTTTTAAGACAGCCTGGTCTGATCTCACAGCTGAACCTGTTTTGAGCAGGAGACCTCCTGAAGACCTTTCCAACTTCAGTTGCTTGGTGATTCTGTGATGTCAGATAGACATCAGGACACTTGAAGTGCTTGGGACATCCACAGGGAAAGCACGCCTGCAAATAACTCACCCAAACTTCTATCAATATTTAAAAGAATTCTGAGAAGCTTTGTGACATCATCTGTATATTCAGAACCACAGTGGAATTTCATAACTTCCTAATTTTCAAGCAGTTACCTTTCACACTTTCCTCCAAAACTTAACAACATACTCATATTTTATTTATTGCTCCATAAAGGGCCAGATTGAAAAAAACCCAAAAAAATTACTTGGAAAACCGGTCTCTAATCTCTAGGAGGAAAAATGAAGATGAGTTCTTTGAGAAGGTGACTTTAAAGGGTTAATTAGCAGGCTATGACAATGCATTTAAGTTTGGATGTTGCTGTAAGAAACACTTCACTGCTTTTGCACACAAGTCCCTACATCACACCTAAACCACACATGGGGTACCAGGATCACCAGCAGAGACAGTGGAACACACTGCATGGCAATACAAACCCAAAAGCACAGCAAAATGCATGAAATTGATGCAGTAACATGGCTGCTTATAACCAGCCTGGGATGGACACCAGTGTCTGATGCCCACTACTGTAACGCACTTACTCCCTGTGTGCCTGTACAGTAACAAGGGTCACAGCTATCTTTTTGAAGAAGTTCATTGCAGAATCACAAAGACTAAAATGGAGTTCAGTATTTTGTGGAAAAAAAAATCAATATAACAAACTATATAAGAAATCAAGTTTCCTTCTCTTAATTCTATTGGAAAAAGTCTAATTATGTTGTTGACTACCTTGAAGTGAAAAACTTCTTGAATTACCTTGGCTGTGCTGACTTTTTCATCACTGGTACCTCTAGATAATGAGAACAAGAACTGTCTATAGGAAAAAAAGACAATTTCCCTCTGCTTTCTTCACATCTGCAACAACTGAAACTCTGGACACTGGAAGAAATTACCCTTCTTTCTGCCATACAGCACTGAAGTGGGGATTTAAAGTAACAAGTGCAGATGTAAGACAGGCCTTTTGTCTGACTGAAGTGGTGGAGGGCATACTCATCAAAGGGAAACCCAATCTGCTGCCCAGCTGGAGACTGTAAGGCCGATTTGACAAAGCAGCAAATCACTGTCTTGATACTGTGCCAGCAGTGTGCTCCACTGCTGTGGAATCCCAAACTCTGGCAACCTGGAGGCCTTGCCAAGAAGGCTGAAATCTTTTCTCACCTTAGAGAGCATTACGTAAGTTAGTAATTCACACACAGTCCAGTGCAGGCCACTTAAATTAAATCCACAGAGGATGCTTTTGAAGGAGCAGAGCCCCTGTCCAGTAACATTTGGCACATGGAGTCCTAGAATGACCAGTGAGGGATGCCTCCAAGAGGCAGCTGGGGTGACTCACCGAGAGGAAAGCGTGGACTATATCAGCCTTAATGGAGCTTAATGGTTTGTCCTTAATGACCACAAAAATCTGTTCTTCTTTCTCCAAGTTGATGAAGTTACCGAACCAGGACTTTTTGGCAAGCCTGATGTGATGAAAAGAAAGAGATGTTTAGAATATGGAACACTATTTCTTATTTCATACATGCCCCTAGGTAGAAAAAATGTTAAAAAACATGAAAAAGTTTTGATGACACCGTAGGTGTGATGATATTACTACTAATAACTGGGAAATAGTATCAGAGAATACAGATACTATTCATCCAGAATGACATTTCACTTGGTGAAAACTGATGACATGACAGACCCCTCAGCCTAGGTCTGGCAGCACGTGACACTGAAAAATCAGGAGCAATGATAACTCTTCTGACTGAGCCAACATACCAGCGAATACTGCATATGTAACATACATATAAATCAGGGGACAATTTTCTCATTTGTCTCCAGTAATGTCTCCATTTCCTGTGACAACATGCAGACCCTGGCAACATAAAGATTTAAGTTCCTTTCCACCCAATTTCAACTTCTTTGGTTCCTTCCCACCCAATTTCAACTCCTTTGGAAAGATGCTTTTCTGAAGGTGTCCTGTACAATCCTGCTTGCTTCTTGAAGCAAGCTGTAGATTTCACTGGAGCTCCAATCTACCAGTGAGTGAAATGCACAATTACACAAGGCCAGGACAAAGACTGTCCTGTTCATTAGCCCCATTCAGAGTGTCTATATTGTGTGTGAACCCTGGCCAGCCTGCAAAGGAAGGAATTTTCAGTATTAAGAAAGGAGATTACAACACCATGAAAAACACAGTTCAGGCTTTCCACTGACAGCAGTCCAGCCCCTCAGTTTGGTCCAGCAGCAGACTGTGGTTTCATCACAAAATGAAATTGCTTTGTTTTTTCACAGTGATTGTATCAGCAAACGTTTGATTTTGCTTATTGTTTAACCATTCCAATGCACTTCACTGACACTGGCTTCTAAGTCAAACAGGCTAAAGGAAGAATTCAGGGACGTGAATGTTAATGAGAGACACTACCTAGACCTGAAAGTAGCATCTCTGACAGGTGTGGTTTTGAGAGGAGAAAAGAGGCTGTCAGCTGTGAGACACAGCCAAAGACTTGCTGGACCAAACTAAACCCAGGGAAAACCACACCTGAATCAGCCATATTCTAGTAGGAAAGAATTCATCATGAAAATGTCAGAAATTAAAAGACCTGCCATCCAAGAGACTGCCTTTTTTCCCCCTCTACAGCATACTTTATAACACCAAATCCAGTTTGCAGTATGGCAAGCAACAGGGTGGACATCCATCACTCAGTGGAAGAAGACAATCTCTCCAGACAAGGAGAGCCATCTGCAAAAGGGATTGCTACACACCAGTTTTCCGTCAGGGCAATAAACAGCTGTAGCAGGCTGCTAGCAGCCTCACTTTTTGTGGTAAAGTGAGGCAGAGAGGAAGGACAGAGGCTAAGAGAGAGAGGAGCAAACTAAGAAACTAATTTGAAGTCTAGGCCTTCAGGATAAAGAACAAAGCTTGACCTCAGCAGTGTCCAGCAATTTGCACTCATTCCCCATCCCAGAGTGCTCCATGAATCGTGCAGCTGTGGGCCCACTGCCCATTTAATGCACACAGCAGAAAGACCACAACTGGAAGAGTGCTCAGCTGGGCAAATAACGATTTGCTTCATTTACTGCAGGCAACAAAAAATAAGAGTAGAGAAAAATTCACTTGCAATTTGGTTAAAACAGTGCCCCCCACTCAATTAAAGTGGGCTGGAAAACTGTCACTCCCTAAAATATTCATAAGCAGCTGTAAATAAGCCAGTGAGCCAGAGATTAGCATAGGGAGCAGTAAAGAGAAAGGGCCTCTCATTTAAATGGTCGTTAAGGAGCCAGGGTTAGAGTGAGAAAGAAAATTACATACTAATTAGCTCATGTGTCTCTCACACACCACAACAACTCTGCAAGCCCCTGGAGAGCTGGGGCAATAGCTCCCTGCATGTAAGGGGTCTGTGCTCATTAGTAAATTAGCACCTGGTTATCCATCTAAAATGGCTGCTTGTCCTAGGCTTGGATGTATCATCATCTGAACCAGGGCTGCTGGATGGACTCCAGGGGCCAAAGGGAAGCATGGGCCTGGAAAAGTGTGCTTATTTAATTGCAGGTCTGCCATCTTAAAATATGGCTTTTCATTTTTGTATTTTCATTAATGATTTTGCTGGCCCTTCATTTATAGGTATCTTAACAAGCACAGGTAACAAGGGCCCAGAACACTGGGACTTTTTTTTCCTGCTCAACATGGTCTAGAGCCTCCAGAATCCATCTGGGCTCTTTTCCTTGGTGAGGTTATCACCAGTAATAGCAAGTCTGGAAGATTCACTGCTAGCCTGGGCTATGCTCCAGCTTGTAAATCATTTGAATTCACTAAAATAATTTTGCTGGTGTCACATAAGACAGAATAGATGCAAGTGGCCTTTCCTGTTTCTGTAATAAGCAGAATCAAGACACAGCACACATGCACTGGCTTTTCTCCCCGAAACAGGCAGAACTAGCTGTACTCATACAGCTAGGGAATAGTTTTGGAGTAAAATTACACATTAAAGCCTTTTCTCCTCTTAGAGGGCATTAAGTGCTACTAACTTGGGTTTAAAATGTATATGAATCCTCAGCACCCTGAATGACACACTCTAGCATCTCTCAAGATCAGGTTGTAAGCAGAACAAAATGTACTTAAAATTAAGAATCTTCTCTTACCAAGGCAAACTTCTTAAAGGGGGAGTGAGATAGCAGATATGTGGGGGAGGCTGGGTATGTAGATTACACTAAGGGATCCAATCAGGTGTCCATTTGATGAAAAAGTAAAGAAAGTACCATAAAAATAGAGGCTGATGCTTTATTACTTCACACCAAATTTCTCACTCCTTTAATATTGTTCCTTTTCCTACTTTTGGAGTGTCTGACCATGTAGCCTTCTGTGTTCCCCCTCTGTCTCTGAGCACATGGATCAGTAACCAGAGGTTTACCTGCCTGGCATAAATAGCAGCATTTCTACTCAAGCAAATGGAGCTTTGCAGGTTTAAAGCAGCTGGAGCTGAGTCTCTTTAAATGTCATCCCTAACACATTTTCTAGGGCTTTTTCACATGAGAAAGAACAGCATTACCCAGACATGTCAAAGTGTATTACCTAATCATCAGGTTTGTCAAATGAATGGCAGGCATTGCTGCACCAGACAGAGCTAGGACATGTATTTATCACTCAACTCATGAGGTCAATATAGCTCTTGATAAGGATGTCTTATTTCTTACAGAAAAGAAGAAAATATGGGAAAAAACCCAAGATATGTGGAAGTGGGCACTGAGCAACAGACATCTATCATTAAAATATAATCCAGTTCATTATTTTTTATGACTTTTATTATGTTTACTGCAGGGTGCAGCCCAATTGAACTCATTAATTTGGCAATTATACAGAAAAAGAAAAGAGGGCCTTAGGCTTTGACTTGCATCCAAACTGCCTCAAATAAGAGGCACTACTTCTCTCCACCAGCTTTTAAAGAGTGAGTGGGAAGCAGGGAAGGCAATAAATTAACAGCAAAACTTCTACCAACATACATGCAATGAAGAGAAGAAATTTAATTCTAAAGGTTTTCTGTTTTAATGGCTTTAAAAACAAGTGAGATGGAGTATTGTATATTTCTGTGATAATGACGTGCCAATTTTATGACATTCTCTCATGCCTCTCTATTAGTAAATGTTCGAAAGTGTTGAAAACACAGTATATTCCATTTTTCGTCCTGGATACCTTTACTAATCCCTATTTCTCCCTCTCCTGAAGTCTTTATCCCTCTTTATCCCTCATTCTGCAGTAATACGTATAGAGTGTCCATCTCACAACAGACAAAAGCCAGGTCTGTGGCAAGTTGTGAAGACAATACCATTGTCACCATTTACAAAACTTTAAGCTCAAAATTCCTATCCAAGACTCATGAATATTTCATACAATTCTCTTAACAAGAGGCCAAATTGCCTTGGTTGGCAGGCTAAGTCTATGGGCATTGGGTGCACAAACACAAGCTGTGAAAATAAAAAGGAATAATTTGGCATCTGTTGCATATTAGGAAGTGTTTGGAGCAGCACTATGGCAGGGACTTCCAAACCTGCCATGCAGTGATGCACATTTGTGCAGTGAAATGGTTGAAATGTACACTGACTTTTAGGAATGAGCCTGGTGAATATGAAACAGCTTCTCCATGTCCCAGTACTGCTGCCTAGAATTAACACTGCATTTACTCTGGCAGGCAAAGATCCTCTGAATCATCTTAGCAGAGCCTCCTGCTCGTTATCCTGAGGATGCAAACTCTCCTGTACTAAAAGGAAGACTTCTTGGTGCACAGTTAGTGACAGTATAAGCCACTGATTAGCCTCTCCAGTCCCAAAGAGCGATCTACTTGACAACCAAATTAATGAACAAAGAGAGAAGAAACACATTACAGACCCAGCAAATTCAGCAAGCTGTGAGAAAATGAGGTGGTTACTGGGAGACTGTTTCATCATCTATTGACTCCCTGCCATTACTGAGGTATAGATTTTATGCAGGCTCCTCAACAAAATAATCCTTTCACATCTCTGTCCCACCCACAGGACAACAGGTTACAAACAGATACTGATCCAGAACAGAAATATGTCAGCTTATGACATTCACGCCAGGAAATCACACTGGTATGTCGTGGAAAAAAAGGCAAAATACTTACTCTGGGGATGATTCTGGGGTTAAATTAGACATCTCTTCTGGTGTAGGTACTGCTCATGCATGGACAGTCAAAGAGAGGGAGGGAGAAAAGAAATATGATTCAGTAAACCTCCCATTTTCAGCTTGTAGACCAATGAAACAATTCTGCCCTTGCTTGCATTTGCCCATTGCCTCTGCAGGCTAATTCTGACATTTAAATGCTGGTCATATGTCTTTAGATCTTGCATCTAAACAAGTGCTGCATTTCAAGGCTCACTCTACCCTTAGGTCATTAGGTAATCTTGCACTGGCTTCAGTGGTTTCTGGTGCAGACCCAAACACACTGTGCCAATAACTCTGCTGCCATTGCCTTAAAGCCCAGCTGGATGCAGCTCAGTCACTGCTGCAACTCTCTGCAGCTGTCTGACCACCTCAGAGACAATGGCACTGGCCAATACAGCTCAAAATCTGACTATATCATGGCTGTAATCCTCCTTTCCCATGGGATCACATCCCAGTACCCTGAAAAACCACAGGGTGTTGGGATAGCTACTGCTGACATCCAAGGATAAGGCATGTGACTTTGGCTGCCCTTTGATGGCATGCAAAAAAGCCACCTGGAGCCTGAGGAAGAAAATTTTGCACATCTCAACACTCTAGAGACTTAGAAAACTGAAGAAGGCCAGCAGATATGAAACCACTGATTGTATTAAGGAGATTTTTGCACCAATTACCAATGGAGGCAAAAAAAAAAGCATTAACCAAGATCAAAAAAGCTGTGCTTCAGAAGGACAATTTCAGCCTATTGCCTCTGGCTGTCTTTTTTTTTCAGCATAAGGCTCAGCCTGTGGCTATGGAAAGGTAGTGGAGCACAGCCACAGGGGAAATGGCTGAGCCTAGGTTCACTTGAAAAGCAAGTGAAGAAACTGAAGACAGATTTTTCTTGTGGTCTAAGAGCCACAACAGGGACAGTAAGAGCTGCATGGCTGGAGTGTGAAGTGGGCTCAGGAGATGTTGTTGAAGCAGGGGCAGTGGCACAACAGAGCCTGCTCACATGTGGGTTAGGGCTTGGCTGATGCTATCACTCTCATTTTCCACACCAATGTTCAGTCCTTGGCACAGAGAGTTTGCAGAGCTACAGACAGGTATGAAATTCCTGCTCAATGTCTTCCCAAATCAGAACCACCCTGTACGTTTGGGTGAGTACTCACCTTGTAATTTCCGACGATGGAAGCGAGGAGACCCCAGGAAACTATTCTTGATGGAGTTGAGCCGTGTCCTCCAAGGCATTCCTCCAATGCTGGGGCTGGATGGTGGTGTTGGGTTGGGTGTGCCTGCTGGGCTCTCCTTTGGCGTATGAACAGGTGTCCCCTTGGGGGTAGGGAGGGGACTTCCCCTTGGAGAGGGGTGAGGGGTGACCTGTATGATGGGGATAGATTTGGTGCTTGGGTCAGTACTAGAAGGGAGCAATCTAACAGGAGACATAGGGTTGGTCTGCACTTTAGGAACAGCCAGCTGTGGGTTAAAGCCGGCAGCAGGTGAGCGGCCCTGAGCATTCTGCACAGGGTTGTTCTGGGAAGAGGGGGCGCTGGTATTGCTGGCAGGGAGTGGGTTGGATTTAGTAGACTGGAGTGGTTTTTCAGCCAATTTGCTCTTGGATGGCAAAGTCTGCGTCTTTGGGTTGGGCTGAAGTGCTGGCTTTGGTTGGAGTACATGTCCAGGCCTGGAGGCGTTCCTACAAGCATCAGGGTCCAAGGAGACTTGGGGTCGGGGAGAGAAAGGGAGGTCGGAGGTCTGAGGGGGGATGAAGAACTTTCTGATAGGCTACGAGACAGACGCAGAGTGTCCATGCACATCAAAAACAGTGAAATACGCAAAGAGCGGGCGAGCAGAGAAAGGAAAGTCAGAATAAAATCCATCCGAGTCACAAAGATGCACCATGTCACAAGGACACACAGGAGATGGAGGTGAGGGGGTAGTGGGGGGGAGGGATTTTGCAAAGAAACGAAAACAAACAAACAAACAAAAAACAAAAAAAAGACATGCAGTTAGCTGGGAACACAGCATATTCAACAACAGCAGCAGCGGCAGCAGCAAGAACAACAGTGTCATAACAGGCTTCATCATATTAACCAACCACGTGTCAGCAAAGGAAAACAACAGAAAGAAAAGTACAACAAAGGAACAAGGAAAAAAAAAAAAAAGAAAAAAAAAAAAGAAAAAAAGGAAAGTAACCAAGAAAAAAAGAAGAGAGAAATGCCATCTCTCTGGGATTGTTCTGATTGCCCTGCAGTGAGAGAAGCATGATGCTGTAGGGAGGTGAGGAAAGGGAAGAAGAACCACTCAAGCCACAGACAAATTGAGATGTGCCAAGAAAGGGACCACCTCTTTCAGTTCCATGTGCCCATATGCAAACCCAGTAGAGAGATGAAACTCAGAACAGGTGTGTGATACATACAGAGTGGCAGGGGATACACACAGTTACTGCACACACCAGTCAGAACCTCTTTCCTTCCTCTTTACCCCTGGCTGGGTAATGCACCATTTGCAGCCACCCATTGCAGAAAGAGGGGGAAAAGGGAGAGTGATGCCACCCACTCTCCTCCCCTGATCTGGAAGGTTAAATTGCTCAGCCTTCACTTGGAAGCTTCAGAGCACACAACACCATGAGAAATATAGGAACTCAGATTGGTGTTTGATTTTTAAACTGCTACTGCAAAAACTTCAGTAAGGTCTGGTAAATTTATTTATCTGGGAAGAGATGATACTTTCCATCAGACTTTATGCTTCTCCTCCAATATCCCTCATTGCATTGAAGGATAGCTTGATAATTGGAATTTATGTCATAAAGTCTCAGCAATGTTTGCCATTAAGTCCCAAGCCTAAGAAGAGGGTGGGGGGAGACATTGTTTTGTAAAACACAGTTTAAAAAGAAAAAAGACAAGCAAAGTTCATAATCCATTGCTGAGGTATCAAAATGGGATTATGATTTTGATTTTTTTCCCAAACAGTAACATTTACAGGTGTTAAGAGGTATTTTGGGAAACCATTCATACTTTGACAGCAAACAGCAATAGACAGACTTGGAAGGGTAGAAGCCTTTTAAGGGATATTAGCAAGCTAAAAATCACATTTAAAACAAAACAAACAAAAAAAGTCCTTACAAATCATTGCTATTACCACCTTAGATTACAAGTACTGGAATAACTGTAGAAATAGAAATCCCTACTCAAGATATTCAGCTTTGGGCACCCTTTTATTTCTAAGAAGTATTACCTATGAAAAATGACACCATCACCATTATTATTATCCATACTTGACACCTAAAAGCTATAATCAAGAACTAACCAGACATACCATGTACATGTAACCTTCCCTCAAATCTCAGTCCCAGGTGAACACGCTCACTAGGGAGATCCTTCTTGGGTGTAATGGATTAGCACAATGCTGCCATATTTTAAAAACTGCAGAAATGTATTTAAGACTTATGTCTCTAAGTTGTTTGCATTAAAGTTTTTCAATTACTTCAAAGAACTTAGGGTTAGGCCACCAAAATTAAAGGAAAATCGGTACATCAAAATATTTGTATTACTATTAGGATTGTAAAGTTAAACTTAAGTCTGTCATGTTGCTAAATTCTCATTGTCAATGGGCAAGGAAGGAGAAAAGATGAGGAAAGTGTTTAATTTGTGTAAGTCACTATTGGCATCTGACTATTAGCTATTTGCAAATGACACCAATGGATAAAACTCAAAGACTGTTAATTGCAATTATTTCCTTCAATTTTGCTATCTTACACGTATGATGGCTTGAGAAGCAGATTTGAAAGAACTAAAGTACAATTCAACTCCCTCTTAAACCATTAAGAATCTGAAGAGGCACCCTTAATTACCACATATTTAATAATGAAATGAAGAACAAGATTAGGTATCAATTTCAGCTGGTGCAATGTGGAACACCATTAACAACATCTTGCAAAATTTAACAACTTAACAACTCTTATTTGCTGCTGAATTCAATTCCTCATAGAACTGAACCTAAGCAGTGCAAAAAGTGAAAGGTGTATTTGTTTTCTAAAGTATGTTCTCTTTCAATAATCTAAGGTGCTATTAGAAGCATAGGTAAGGACGTTTAAAAAAAAATGATTTTTATTCCAACATTTTCTTTTAAGCCTCAAATATGACCAGCATTAATATCGTTATGATCTGCTGAAAATGCCACCTGATTGCTAAATCCCTTTGAAGACTATTTAATCAACTGCCTGTTAAGTAGTAACGGTAGGATACAGAGACTATGGGATCTTGTCAAACTTATTCTTTGATGTTGTTCTACTGAGATATCAGAAATTGATCCCAAGAGATCAATTAATGAAATCAAGATTTAGGTTTGCTTCACTGCATGCTTATTTTGTGCACAAAACTGTTTCCATGCTCATTTCCAGTACATTTTGAAGCGGCATAAGAGTTCTCAGACCTCTGCTCCATTTCACTGGCAACCAGGAATCCCAGTGCAGAAAGAAGGAAATGGATTTTCACTGGTCCCTAGGACTTTAAAGACATAGAGGAGACCACAAGAACATTTATGCTGGTTTCAAAACAGGATGACAATTGGCAGGAGCCCAAAATAGGTTTCAGAAAGTAATTAAATCAAGCAAAGCGCTGGAAGCTTTACTAGACTATAAACTTAGAGCTGACAGTGTGTCTTTATTCACAAGAATTACATAGAATGTTAGAGTGGAACTGCAATTTCAAATACTTGGAATACTGATGTTATCTTCACAAAACTGAGAATAGATCCATTGATGTATCCATACCCTAAGACATGGACTATATCAATTTCTAGTGGGGGACAGCATCTTCTCATGAAGTCATGGGAAGTATGTAGAAATCCTCCAGAGACTCTGGGCCAGACATTTAGATAGCATGCACTATTACAGCCCAACAGACTTTTCGATGAGTCTAGACTCTTGTTAGGCACTGCAGTCTTAAAGTGACTTAGCTGACCTTTTACGCACTAGGAATACTCACTTTTACCCCTAAAGAAGTTAACAAGAAAAGGGAGGCCTCTGTCATTGCATTTAGAAACTGTTACAACTTCACAACAAATGTACTGTCAAGCATGTGTTGTACTGGCTGAGTATCAGTATTAGTTGAGCATCAGTATTGAGTTGACTGCATGCTTAAAAAGGGCACGTGAAAGTACCTTGTTGATACGGATGTGAATGTTCTTTACTTATCCAAGTCAGTCAACTTCTTACTTTCCTTTTAAATTCCCTAGCCCTCAAATTTGTGTAATTTATTTTATCTGACTTCCTAATATGAGCTATTCTGAGGCAAAGAGAAGATAACCAGCATGCTTTGGTGCTTTACTGTGATCTAATTGAAGGCAGCTGTGAAATGGCTCCTGATCATTTGGTCTCAAACCAGGCTACATGCAGACCTCAGCTGGCTATGGAGTGTTTAGTCATAGCAATGTTATTCTGTGTGCTTAAGAGACTCAAAAAGGGCAGGGCCACAGTGAGACCCCTGCTAAAAGTGCAGGGAACGTGTAAGAGAAATTCTCCACCTCCATTTTTAAGTAACGTTTCCCTCACTACCCATGAAAATTTACAAGCTGCCAAGGAAAAGCAAAACATCCCAGCTAAGAGCCACAGCTCTGGCGCAACAGATGTCAAAAAGCATCAAGCATGTGAGTGGATTGGACCAACAGATCTTGAAGCAGCACCACTTACCCTTGGACTGCTGAGAGGACTGGTGGAGAGCCCAGACGATGCTCCGCTGATTGACCGAGACCTGAATGGACACAACAAGGAAAACATCCCTCAGAAAACTCAGACAAGTAACAGCCCTGAACACCAGCCACCACAGGCACAGGCATGAAGTGAGGAGGAGGAGGGAGGCTGTCACTGGAAAAGGACATAACTCTTTCCTTTTCTTTCCTTTCACTATTGCCACATTTTTCAGTTGTCCCCTCCGCCCCAAATCAAAGTAATGCTGTTGCTCAGGGAGAATACTATAATCCCTTTCAATTAAGGCAGTTGCTACTTTCTCTTTAGTCATCAAGCACATGGAAGCTAGGTCTGCTCTGTGCAAATTGAACAGCTCAATTCAAAGAGATGGCAAAGACATTCAAACTTGTGCTAAGAATTCTGTTTTGCACAGTGCTGGCGGTTACAAAATGAGACTTTCTCTGTCACAAGCAACATGGAAAAGCACCATGCGTACAAGGTACAAAGGTAGGGAGTTCTTCCAGGTAATAATTAAAACCCCAAGTCTCCTTGACTCAAGCACACAATCATTTCTTATGTCATGACTTCCCACTGAAATCAAAGATTGCATTGGCTTAGCCCTTTCCAGCTTCTCACTGATGGATTTCACGTCTTTGCTCTCCAGTGAGAATTCTTGCTGCTGCATTAAGCAAGTCAGGTCTTCTCTGTGGATAATGAGTTCTGCTTTTGTTGATGACTCTACTAATATCAAAATTACAGCGGTGCCCTCAGAAAGAGGCCAGTCAAGGGAGAGTGAACTGTCCTATCTGCTGACAAGGTCACCTATACTGTTAATGGTCTTATGCTCTCCAGCAAAGGCCACCTATGGAAAATGTCAGCTGCTGACAATAAGAAGCAGTGCTATGCTAAATGTGGTGGAAGAGCAGACAGGCCAGACTGCACAAACACTTCGGCAGAGGAAGTTCCTAGGAGGAGGGCTACCCTGCAGAAAAAACCCCACACCTTATGTGTGACTGTACATGAGTGAGCCCCAGAGGCAGCTGCTTTCTATCCTTTTTAACAAGAAAGAAAGTTGTCTTGAAGACGGAAACATTTTACAGGAGAGAATTTGGCTAAGAACCTATTTATTCAACAACCACCATGCAGCAATATGTCAATATAGCAAACCTACCAATGTTTCCTACCTATAATAACCTACCTATAACAAGAGCCATGAAAGCAATTACTTGCCTTCAGGTAACAAACATGAAAAGGTGAAATTCCTGTAGAAAACTGAGTGGATGAGTGTATGTGTTTTAATATGTGTCTGTGTTTACACACATATCTATTAAGAATTTATATAGGTGAGATATGTGATGTCAGCTTATACATAAGAATATAAAACAAATTTAGACCATAAACTGTATCAGTTTACTCTCATCAGCTGTTGTAGAACAAAACAGAAAAATGGTCTCTAAAATGGTCTCCTAGACATTTATTATTAAACAAGTTTGAGTGGCAAAATTCTTTAAAAACAAGTGAACTGCAAGAGGAAGTATTTCCAAGGAAAGAATAAGCTACAACTGAACACAATGGCAGGTTCTGTTTTCTCTACTTGTATCCTCTGCCCTGATGGTTTTCTTCGTATCCCACTGAAGTTTGTCCATCACACCAAGTAGGTGAAAACCAGAAGCTCACTCACATCACTTTTTTTGGCCAGATTAAATCTCAACTGGCACCAAGAAAATCTGGAGCACTCAATCTATGCAGAAAATTCCCACATAGGTTTTTTTCTTGTACCCTGATGTAATCTGCCCATCATAGTGCAGCAGAAAAAAAAAACTAGAGGCTCACTCACAGCATTCTTTTGCACTAAATTAAGCCTAAATTTGTACCATCGAGATCTGGGGCACTCACAAAGGTTTATGCAAAGTAATTTTAAGGGGAGAACTATCTGCTCCACTTTTGAAAGACTACTGTATGTGCCTTTCCTATAAGTGAAGTAGCTGACTGCACCACAGATGTGTCGTGCAGATGGGACATCCATTTAGTTAAAATGTTCCTTGCATGAATCATCAGGAAAAGCTTCTTCCAAACCATGAATTACAAGAGGAGTCTACAGATAATTTTGGACAAATGTGGAAGGCATTCAGGTGCCCAGAGATGCAGTTAAACACCAACTTAGAGTTAAAGGAGATGCTCCCACCAACTCTTCATTGTGGTGGGAACATCCTCTCTGACACTCACCTGAATTCCAGGACACTTGCTTAAAAGTTCCACTCTGCTATTTCCTTTTTGCCATCAGGTGTTTCCAACAGTCCTGAATTCTCACTTCCCAACCCCACTGCCTCTTATCTTTTTACAAAAATGATCACACACATGTAGGGCAGAATATGGCAGTCCCCACCTCCCAAATCCCAGTTTTTTATTGGAAGCAATATTTGAAAAATAGTTGTTGTGTACTGTGCTTTCATCCAGCCTAGGAGCCTGAGGCAGGGGACATAAGAGAGAGTTAGTATGAAATCCTCCTAGAAATGCATTCAGTATCCACATGATTGCTATTGAACAGGATTTATTTCTGCTGCTGATTTACATGCAAAATACGTAAGAAGTAAAGTAGGCCCTATAGCAAGCTTCAGTTTGTCCACACTGGAAATTGTATACAGGAGCAGTGGAAAGAATTTTAAAAAGCCTCTGTTCAATTTAAGTGTTGGGGTAAAAAGAAAGCTAGACATTTTTAGAAGACTTCCTCCTTTACCAGAAAGTGGTAGTACAGGATATGACACCAAGACTGAGGAGAACTTCCTCAATTTAACAGATCTCCCATAATTTACCTTTACAAATGGGATATGATTCTCAAGCTAGCTATAAAAACTCAGTACCATGCCCTACTACGTGGTTCTGTATTCCAGTACAAAAAGTGCTAACAAGCAAAAATGACAGATTTGTCCCTCTCATCAAGATCATTTCAGCTAAGCAATGGTGTAATTCAGTTTGTAAAAAAACCCAATCACATGCACTGCTCCTGTATCTCAGAGTCAGGTGGACAGAACTGGGACAGGGCCAAAAGAAAGGAATGAAAACGTTGCATTATGCTGAAATGCTGTAATAAAAGAAAAGGAATTTAAATTTTTAGCCCTCTCACCAGAAAATGAAAGTTCGAGGCCCTACAGGCAGCATTAATATGGCAGACTCTTACGTCTTATGTGTGGAAAGAGGTATGACATCCATTCATTTTGTCTCCATGGCTATGAAATAAATTTATTCAGTGAGATGTATTTATTAGTGAGTAACCTCCTAAGCGTCTTTATAGGCATCAAATGTTACTGGAAGTATTAAATCTATAATTATTCCAATAACTTAATACTAAATGCAACAATCAAGGAAACTGTGAACACTGTGTGTGACTCATTTTGCTCTGTGTTTTGCATTCCTGTGTGCTTGTGCATTAACTCAATGGAAGTCATCTAAAGCTTGTTGAAAACACAAGCTGGAAAGACAGTGCAGTTGCTCAGATAAGGAGCATTCCCTCAAACACAACTGCCAGATTTAGAGACCCAAGAAGAGACTCTTTAGTGATACAGATCTTTTGACAAGCCTGGAGGGAGGAATTCAAAAATCCCAAATCATAAGAGAAGCAGACCCAAGGTTTAGGAGGGGGAAGATGCAGAGGGCACTCTAAACATAAGGTGGACACTGAGATCATTGCAGGCTATTCCCCCCATTCCACAGACTGACAATAACCTGGAGACAGCTGAGCTATGAAAGAGAGAGGCAAAGGACTGAAACGAAATGTGCGTGTGTGGGCTGGAGTTTGTAGCTGTGATGATTTTATACCTTATTCAATCTATTTGATAATTCAAAGTATCCAAGTTGAAAGGTCCTTCATTTTAAAGTAATTTTATACTAATTTTAGCCAGCTGCTGTCAAGAGGAAGCCACGCAAGGCCCAGCTCATGTCAGACCAGTGTTCTGAAACTGAGGGGCTTGAATCCAGTTTCCAGCTGGTTTCAGAGAATGCAGAATTTCCTGAGAGGTACAGAGCTGAAGCTCGACACTGCTGAGGTGCAGACAGAGAAAAACAGGAGACAGGAGAGTGCAGCTGGCCTGGTAACTGCACTGCACATGCAGCACATGTACAGCACATCTCTCCATCACCCTTCTCTCAGATCTGTTCCCAAATGCTTTAAACAGTGCCCCTCCTGAGACACACCAGTAGAACATAAAGGCTTCACAGCATGAATTGAACATTTAGGTCAGATTTGGCATTTGTTTCTTCTTCGAATAACCATCTCCTAGAACTTTTTCTTACAATCCAAGTTTGGTACCCCGTTGCAGTCCCAGCAGAACTTGCTTTCATAGCACAGTTTTACCAGGATGCTGAATACAGCCTCTTAGCTGGTCAAGCTGGAGCCATGCTTCCAAGAAGGGGAGCCTGCAGCATGCATGCAGCGTGCATTGATGCATTAGACTTGTGTCCCTGGGTGAAATGCCTTAGAAATTTTGAATTGGTTTGATTCCATGTGTGGTTTTGAAACTCATTCCAGAAAATACCCAGCCAACCTCTTACTTGCTTCAAGCATGAACTGGGTGGAATTTGATACTCCTCTTTCCTTGCTCACTCAAAGCCAATAAAATCTAAACTGAAACTTCAGGGTATCAGACCCCTGACAATGACCTGAATTAATATGCAATGAACAGTCAAGTGAGCAGTCAGGCTGTGTTAAATTTCAACACTCTTACTTTTGGGTGTCTGAAAGGTACAAACTGTGCTTCCTCACCCTCTGATTCAGGGAATATGTATAGAATACCTTGGATGTTCCACTGTCTTACAGTCCCAACCATGCAAATAACACTGTGACAGCTCTTACTGGGAATATTCATGCTTGAGTCAGAAGGTCTGCTTATGGTAGCAACCACTTGTAAGATGAAGCCTTACAGAGAGTGCAGAGGAAGAAGTGCAGGTGTTGGTAACACACCTCTTCTTCTTTTCAGCCCATACAGATGGTGATGTTGAACAGCACCACCCTCCTTAATTGGCCAATTATGTTAAAGTTCCATCTATAAATAGTTTAGAAAGAATTAA